TTCACTATTCCGAAGGTTCACTAGTCCAAAGGTTCACTAGTCCGAAGGTTCACTACTCCGAAGGTTCACTACTCCGAAGGTTCATTAGTGCAAAACATATGCTGGTTTTGAATTGCAATTACTTGTTAGGCTTGGCTGCTTCGCAGTAAGCATTTTTCGTACCTGCATACATGCACGGAAAAATTTAAATCCACTTGAAAGTCTTTTGTCCACTTAAGAAATAATTAAATGAATAAAAGGATAGCATTTAGTTTTGTGTTTGATTTTAAATGTACTTTTAGTACTTTAAATGTAATTATAGTACTTATACCAGTATAAAATTTAGAAAGATTTAAACTTTTCCGAGTGTATATATGTACGTGAAAAAATGCGCAACTTGAAAGCTGTCGTAGTCATTGGACATTGATCAAGTTGCGCATTTTTTCACGTACATATATATATATATATATATATATATATATATATACATATACATATACATATACATATACATATACACATATATACATATACACATATATACATATACACATATATACATATACACATATATACATATACACATATATACATATATACATATATACATATATACATATATACATATATACATATATACATATATACATATATACATATATACATATACATATACACATACACATACACATACACATATACATATACATATACATATACATATACATATACATATACATATACATATACATATACATATACATATACATATACATATACATATACATATACATATACATATACATATACATATATATATATATATATATATATATATACGTACATATATACGTACATATATACGTACATATATATATATATATATATATAAACAATAATTGCATGACACAACAATAATTGCATGGCTACGACCAGGAAAAAAAAAATTTTATTAAAGATTAAATTTTCGACTGCATGCGACAGCCTTACCTGTGCTAAACAAAAGCAGGGCATAATTTGCATGGGCCCTAATATCTGGAACATTTACTTCCTCGACTGTTGAAACTACTTCAGAAAACAATGGATCTTCGCATGGTTACCGAAGCTATCCCTCAACTCGAGTATTACCCCAACACTTTTCACAACACATCCAATCACCTCTTTCAATTCTGTTTGGAAAGCTAAACTTTGATGCAGGGAGTTTTTTCCTCGTTTCAGTTTGAGAAATGGTATAACGGCTATTCGTGAGAAAGCACTGTTTAAAAAGAGAAGCAAAATATTTTAGTACTAAAGAGTAAAGATGTCCGAAATATCGAAGCGAGGCGGTTAATAAAAGGTTTATTATATGGCATTTATACTTGAAACAAACAAGAAATGCATGAATTGAAATGTATTATATTGGTAGCGTGGTACACATTTGGTCGAAGAAAACAAAAAATTACCAATGTCAGTATTCCGTCTTTTCCACTAAAAACCATTTGCAGATATCTTTTATTAATAACAAATTAAATGATAAATTTCAAAATTTTCAATTAGGTTTTGCTGTTTTGTTTTAAAATGCTGTGTTTGTTTTTACGTAATGGACCGCCGGTCAATTATGGGAAAATAATGACCGCTGCGGAAAGTGCTTCTCAGCCAGTCACAGCCACCATTTCACCGGAAGACGAAAGTGATGTTTGCCATATAACAATTCTTTCCGTTGGTTACGGCAGCAAACCTTTTAACATGTGGACTATTTGGCTATATAGTAAGTCATTTTATTTAAGTTTTTTGAGGATTGATAGCTATACACTTACAAATTAACCAATACGCCTGCAAAAAAAGCCAAATTGATTGGGTAATTTTTACATTGGTCTCAAGATATGTTTCTCTTTACTTTTTTTGCTTTATACGCCGCAATCCATTGATTCTAAACATCCATTGTATGAAAATTATGAGATTGGCAAAAATTACTTAATTCACTTATCAGATTGATAATAACAACATTAGCTATGGTCAGCTATATATGTAAAACATTATGAAACAATATGCAAAATATGCATTTGGCATCGCATATATTGCATGTAAATGCATGGTTATATATACCACGCCTGACAAAAATGCATGCCAAAGCGCTAACGTGCTTCAATTTCTTTAATTTTCATCCTGTTTCTACAAAAGTTCGCATAGACATAGAACATGTCATTCTTACAAATCGTATGTTTTTTTTTCCAAATTGTTACATTTTTGGTGGGAAAATGACGTCACAAACTTGCTGCTAAAAAATGAACAGTTCGCTATTGCTAATTTTATGCACTTATTCGTTAGACGACATTGAGAGAGTCAGAAAACTGAACTCCGTTTCTAAATACGACTATTTCTCGCGAAGAAATACCGGTACAAATGTCGAAAAATCAGCCATTTTGTTACTAAAAATAGAAGAAAATGGCCGATTTTTAGAAATGTGGGCCACAATATCTTCGCCAGGAATGGTTGTATTTCGAAACAGACTTCAGTTTTAAGACTCTCTCAATGTCGGCTACTGAATAAGTGCATAAAATTAACAATAGCTAACTGTTAATTTTTTAGCGGCAAGTTTGTGACCTCATTTTCCCGCCAAAAATGTAGCAATTCGAAAAACAAAAAACATACGATTTCTAAGAATCACATGTTCTATGTCTATGCAAAATTTTGTAGAAACAGGATGAATATTAAAGAAATTGAAGCATGTTAGCACTTTGGAATGCATTTTTGTCAGGCGTGTACCATGACAATTTTTCTCTGTTCTTCTTAACAGCATTTGGCATTGCTGTAGGATTCATCATCATAACTGGGACTGTTCTGGAAACCATATTCAGGGATGTTTCTTGTTTTCTTACTAGACTACAAAATTAAATGTAGGCTAATTATATTTATTTTCATGAAATGAGAAATTGCAATATAATATTAGGCTAAAATTTTAATGAGATTTCCTAAAATGTTGGTTATATTTTCTTCTTATAATAGTCTTAGTTTTAAGACTTAGTTATATCACTTTTATTAAAACAATTATTAAAATTATCACTTTTATTATTAAAACAACTGTTTAGCTATTAAACAGCACTCTTAACAGTTTCACCTTGTTAAAAGATGCAAGTGCCACTTTCTCCAAAACATCAAAGTTGTTAACATCATCCCACCAATAAGGCAGACTTTGGCGAGAGAGAATTTCCTTTGTAGCTGCTAACATGCATTCTATAACAAAATAATTTTATACATATCTGTTATTATTAAGTAATGTATGATGTTTAATGCAATCGCAATGATAGAGTTCATTTTTACGATTAGTGGAAAACAGCACACTTATATATAGGACCTGTTTTTTTAGAGAAGAGATCAAAATCGAAATCATCTCAGTTGGACTAGCTCGGTCCTGGTCTCATATATAAACCAAATTAAGGTCTTTTATCTAACCTCCAATCTTTTCTTCCTGACCAATCACAGCCATTGCTGCTTCGACTGCTGTCGATTTACCAGATACGGGTTTACCATATTGCCATGATACGAGGAATGCCATTGTATAGCTTTGACAATTGTTCATAGTGAACTGCTAGCCCCACTCCACCCAAGACCAAAAGCGCAGAATAGAAGTTCTCAGCCATGTATTTCTCCTGGATTTTGATCATTTTTTTAAGTGCATCCCCACAATCTAGATCTCCTTTAAATTAAAGAGATATATAGAGATATATATGCAAGAGGTGCTTAAAACTTACATATTCTTACATGATAAATTAAGTACTGTTTAATATAAAACGAGCAGCGGATTATTTTTATATGACTTTTATTAGGTTTAAAAGCAAGAGCTCGTGATTTTAGTAAGTAAAAAGAACAGTGTATTGCTGTTAACAAGCCACATTTAAGGCAAGGCTCATAGTGTAAATACGACTTAATTAAGAGTCGTGGCGCTGGGCCAGACTAGCCTGCGTGGCAGGCCTATACCTGCCACGCAGACTAGGGCCAGACTGGAAGCTTTGTTACATGGGTACAATCTCGTTCCACAAGCATGCCCGTTCGCAGGTTAAGGGTGGCCACCCTTAACCTGCGAACGGGCATGCTCGGGGAGCGAGATTGACATGAGCACACAAGAATTTTATTTCGTAAAATAGACCATAATAGACCTATATTAAGTCTGCCTTGTGACGTACCTTGCGGATAAAGAAAACCGCGCACAGTCATTTACGTGCACTCAGCACTTGAGTGTGTAAAAGCTTTATAATATACCTTTATCATTCACAGGGCCAAGTACGTGCGTACTTGACACAAGTTCAAGAAAATATAATTTTGCAAACATGAATTTTTCGGTGCGCATGAACAGTGGCGTAGCCAGCCCGACAATTTAGTCCCGCTATGCAAATTCAAAATTATTATCATTATTCATTTCTTTAGAAATTGATTGCTTTCACAGTCAATGAACACAAGAATATTTGCATAGCGTAACTAAATCGTCGGACTGGATATGCTACTGCGCATGAAAGATCTTCTGTGCGCACTGCGAAGTTTTCAGTCTGGCTTTGAGCCTGAGGTGGTGCTTCATTTCACGAAATTAATTAGTTGAGGTATGCTACAATACCTGAAACGTCAAAAAACGATAGGGCATCTGCCTGGCTACCAATATTGCAGCAAGGAGAATCTGACATTGACAGTCGTTTGGCAATTCCTTCGCATAGTACGACTTGAAAGTTCAAGCCAAAAACCCAAGTTGGCGAGTCGCAAGACACTTGAAGGCCAAGTCCCTGGGCAAATATACAGTTCTGTTATACTGTCGGTATTTAAGGCCTGATTTATACGTCAAATTTCGGTCGCGTCAAATACAATTAAAAAATAGTTCATGTCAAATGAAGCTTAAATCGTCTCATTATCTATCATCTAATTGCATTTGACGTGACTGAAATTCTACATATAAAACAAGCCTAAGAAAAGAAGACCAACCATTGCAGACACAGTACTATTATATTATATATAAGCAGCCTGAATAAAATTAAACTTTCGGCGTTTCCGCCTACATACGCACGAGTGTGAAGTAAAGTTATATTTAGCACGCTACATTCTCCTGTCAGCCGCCAGTTGGGCTGTACTGGCTGTACGTTAGGATCAAAACTGCGTTTTAAAGCCTTAACTCATTAACACGCAAGCTGTTTATTATTATTATTATTATTATATTCTATATTTTAACAGGTTAACTTGTTCAGCTGTTGAGTTCAATGGCTGGTATCCTACAAGGACCTGTGTTTACAAATAATATACTAATATAAAAACTCTATTAGAAAAATGTCTCTATAAGAAGTCAAATTAAGTCAATATTCATAGTTCAAGGCTGTCTAAAAAATGTTTTACATGCATATAAAAATTATTCGTACCAATGCTTTAAATTTCGTTTATAAATAACAACAGATTTTTCAGTTTTTAGTTCTTTCAGAAGTTTGTTAAACAACAAACTTCCTTCCCGCAAAGGAAGCCATTTCAGAGAGAAGCGACATTTTGCCAAACAACCGTCGCGACCTATTTTGATAACTTTTCTTTCCGATTCAATGTGTAGTTACTAGAAAATGATGTTTCATCAACATTATTATCTGCTTTATCGATTTAAAGTTTTATAGGGGATATAAAAACAGTAAAAAAGCATTTTGTAAGCTTTACAACTCAAGTGCGGACTTTTTGAGAATTTACACATGGCAAGCAAGCGTGTTTATTCAATACACTTATTTTAAACCACAATATGTCTGAAACGAGTTGTCATTTTAAGACTAAATTGATGAAAATAGATATAACAGTGACTTTGGAACATCCTACTTATTTAGTGTAATTTAATACTCGAAGTATTCTTGCCAAAAAGGTAAAAAAACGTCACGTACGCACAATCTGGTGTCGTTTGAAACATAATTTGGCTAAAATAACAACTTGAACAAGAAGACCAACAATGGGGTCATGAAAACAGTCAAAATTGTGCCCAAATTTGCATAAACAGTTCGTCTATAAAAAGATAACTTTAAACTAGATTCAACCAACATTAATGTGGTCGAATTTTGTGAGTGTTTGATCACATATTTCTACTCAAAAATACCCTTTAAAAAATCGTATTTGCTCACTTGTGTTCCGTGTTCATCTTTCTTGTGATTTCCGACTTCTATTTTTAATAAAGTTTGGAGAAATCCTCATCTTTTTGGCTGAAAATCTTGCGCAAGGTTCACAGAAAAACTTGGCCCAAAACGTCAATACATTCACTTTCATGCCAAATTTTCGTTGTATATCATCCGAAAACCTCTTCTTTTTTCGCTTTTAAAACTTGCTGTAAAATCCTTCTTTGCAACAGTATCTCCATTATTCATTATTTTTGAAAAACTATGGTTTTAAACTTGAAAAACTTTGCGAGTTTCTGACCAATTTTCTTGCATGATACACAGTTGAAAAGCTCGAATTTCACGTTCTATTTTCATATCTGTTGCTAGGCAACCCGATAAGCATGTGCTCAAATATCATGCCCGCAAGTTGAGGTGTCATTTGAGGGCGCATGCGGCCGCATTGTCCGTTACCCACTTGTCAATCTCAGGGCGCATACGGGTGCATTGGGCGTTAATGAGTTAAATATAAAATATTTTGGTCTCAAAATACTATCGAAATGAGGAGAAAAGTGAGACGAATCATCCACTGGCCATGCAGCCGAAAACGAGAAAACCAACAATTTCGAAGTTATCGCATTGGGCGTTAATTTCAAAGTTATCTAGACTGCATTTTTAATTAGTTTAATAATTTTTGAGCGATTTGTGAACAATACAATTTCGCTTATTAAAACTGCATATTAAAACTTTTAAAATATAAAATTTTGAGCTCAAACTACTAACAAAATAAAGAGAAAAGTGAGACGAATCCAATCCACTGGTATACGGCCGAAGAGAGAAAACCAACAATACGAAAGTTATCAAGGTCAAATGTCTTGCATTTTTAATTAGTTTAGTAATTTTGAGCGATTTCTGAACAATACAATTTCGCTTATCTTTCAAAGGCCATAAATCGCTAGAATACGGTTGTTTAGTAATACATTCGACATCTGTAAGTATAATTTTTTACGCTGATTCGAATGGTGGTATTTGTCCTTATTGGGCGCATAAAACCAGAGATAAGGCCCAGCAAAAAGTCAATTGTGAGAGTCCGAGATTAATTCGAAAGAAAACTTTCCTCGAAAAAAGGAATTTGGAAAACGTAAAGTATTATTTTGAGTGGCTTGTCTTTCAAAGGTGACAAATTGCTAGAATAGAAGTCAATTTTGAAATCAATTTTCCATCCATAAATACAACTTTTCACATTGATTCGAACAGTGGTATTTTTGTCCTTGTTTGGCCTATAAAACCAGAGATAAAGCCTAGCAAACAGTCGATCCTGACTCCTGAGAGTACAAGATTAGTTAATTTTCCCGCAAAAATGAATAAATTCCGAGTACATGAAAGGAATTTTTAGTAGGCGATTAAGGAAACGTATTGATGCGAAACACAGGATTGGAGTTTTCAGACGCTGCATAAGCATCGCACAATTCCTTTAAGAATGTTGGTAAATACTGCTCTTTGAGTGGCGCTGTCCAAAGTTTTGTTGATTTTATGACATTCATGATGCCCGCCTGCGTCGACATATCTTTCCAGGTCAGATAGTAGGACTGTCTATGATTAGAAAAATGCAAAGTTGCAAATGTCTAAAGAAACCATTTAATATTGCGAAGTACATTTGAGACCGCAATAAAAAATTGTGAATATCATAATTTTGTTTTAAAATTTGGAAATATATTGGGCATAGAACATGCAACTTTGCATGCCGGTGAAATGGGACAGCAACGATTGGCTCGAATGGACTGGCAATTCATCATCATTTCTGTTGCCGAAAAGCTCTTCTATAGTCGTATCTACACTGTGTACACTTTCCTCATGGTCCATATCAGTTCGGTTCGTGTTGCTTGAACTGATTTATGTTTAAACCACTGTACTTGCGTCCTCCGTGCTGAGTGCATACATTTTTAAAGCTGGCTTTATTTATAATCGATGTAAAATTTATTGTTGTGAAAAACAACTTGACGTTTACTGTGTGTTTGTTTATCTATTAGGGTTGGCCATGGGGTTTTGGGTATACAGATCTAGTATTAAATGGGTATTTAATTCAAGTATACTGTACAGTATATTTACTTCAATGTTATGACTATAATTTTGGGTACCGGTATTAGAGTGTTCTGGCTGTTTTAGGTATTATTTGGAACATTTTGACCGTGGGCATTTTGATCCATATTTATCAGGTGTTTGGGATACCACAACCCCACGCCTCCTAGCTGACCCCTATCTATGATTAATATATGCATGGTTTCGTTTTATTTTGGAGGACAGTTGAGTAAAATAAATAGTCGCGACTTTCCCTTTGGAGTTTTCTAAAACCTTTCAGAGTTTTCAGATTTACTTTATTTTTGAGTGCATATATATACGTCCTGTCATTTGGAAAAAGAAACTGTGGTATTATTTCATATCAAGTATATTCTTTGGCTATCATACTTTCACATACAATAGCTACTTTCAGATACTTTTGTTTTGTCCGATTGAATCGTTTTAAAATTCAAAAATGTATTTATTTTGTAATTTTACGTTGAAACATTGCATGATAATCTGCTTAAAAGCTTAGTTGCTTTATTTACAATATTTTAATAAAACAACATCAACGAAAAATGTTGTTACTCGAATATATTGCCAATATTGTGTCTGATGTAACGTTGAGTGGAGATTAAACTGACGTCGATGTTCACTGCCGAAACAACGTGGCTGCACGCGCCAGTAAGCTAATTCAAGCAATTGCATGAATTTGACACAATTCACAAGTCACATGAATTCGACACAAATTTAATTTTAAAACATGCCAACAGTGTTGTATCAGATATAAATATTCGAGGCACCATACCGAGTGGCTTTAATTAGGTCTGTAAAACATGCACTTCATGCGGATGTTTTAAATTGCTTCAAAAATGACCGGTCTAGTAAGTTTATTTTCGAAGAAAATACGTAGTAAGTCGAGAAAATCAAACTTACAATTTATTTAAGTCAAAGGAAATTCTCTATCAAATATGAAGATACAACACACTTCTGATTATTCTTTGTGTTTTTCCTCATGAATCGATGATCTGAAAATGTCAAAATTTTAACTTGAATTCAGTTTTAATAAGTTCTTTGTATGTTTGCATGGCGATAAAATATAATAGTTTTGTATTCGTTAAATTTACGTGGTGTTTCCACAAATACCAAACTATTTAATTCAGTTTACCGTACTGATTTTTACATGAGTTACACTTCCATCCCTTAACCACCCCAACATGCACCCCCTGTCATTACGTCCCTACAAGATTTTTAGCCAAACTATTGTGTGAGACCAAATGCATGGATCTATCTTGATATAGATTCATATCTATAAACAGTGAGATCTACTATAAAAAAAATATATAATGTAATCCATTTGTTAATAGCCGATTATTTTACTCCATCGATCTGTTAATAGTAACGTTACTGTAGCTGTTTAATTTTGGACCTTGTTTTGTCTCATTTTACTTTACTGTTTAAAAATAAAGGCCCGGCAAGAATGGACACATGCAGCTATCGTATATGCGAGTTAGCTAGTATATTTACTCTATTACTTCAACCGGATAACATGCTTTTACTTTAGAAGTTTATACATCGTACAATATTTGTAGAAATGTTGGTAAGTAAATTGGTTATTATTATCGACTACGCCAAACAGTGCGACTATTTAAAATAAAGCATGCATAAGTCCAGGGTGTACAAAATTAAACTCGAACCAGTACAAGGCTTTTGAGAAGATACTGCATGATGTGTGTTTTTTGTGAATAAATAGAAAAAATGTATTTACATGCATGTGATTTCCACTGCTGCATTTCTGACAAAAATATGGTTTTTTATTAACTGGAAACTAAAACAATCAAATCATGTTATTTCAAATCAACAAACTTTTATTAACAGTTGTATAAAAATAACTCGACTGCAGGGAATCGAATTTTAAAATATACAATGAAATAATTCGCCATTTAATTGTTTTCTTCCAAAAAGTGTGTGTGTAAAAAATAAAGCACCATCTCAATGAAAGTAGTTATGGCACATTTATTTGCAGGGGAGGTCTCCCAAATACTCGGAATGGATAAAAACAATGCATTACCAGAGGGCGGCATAAGGGACAGCCCCCTTGAAAAACCTTGAGATTGTTCCTGGAAATTCCAAGGTAAGGGAAGTTTGGTTCATTCCGATTGTGGTTAAAAAACAAAATATCAGGTTGCTAGGCCAAATCCTAACTCATAGTAAACAAAAACTAGGGATCCAAGGACAGTGCAATGTTCCTGAAAACTTGAAAAGTCATTACTGTAATATCAAATCTTCCAAACATATTGTCCAAATGATGCGGTTCGCGAATGCAAAACTGTTGCAAATTAATTTTGTTGTAAATTACCAGTAAGCTTGAAGTAGACGAAATTTTGAACTTTTAGATGAAATTTTGAACTTTTAGATGAACTTTTGAACTTATTACAGCCATTTTCGTCCAGCCATACCACAAGTCGCAAGAATTTCCGAGCATTTGTTTACGTTTGTGACGTAGCTAACAGTAGCTGCCGGAAGCTACATTTTTAAAGGGACACTCCACCCCCAGAACAAGTGTCGCTCATAAATGATGAGCCTACCTTGGAATGAATATTTGTTCGCCTCAATTCTTTTTCGTTTGCGAGAAATTTACCTTTGTTTAACTGATTTTTGGTCCATTATCGCCGCCATGTTTGCTGAATCCGCGGGTGGTCCTATGAGTGCCGTCACGTAAGTGTGTGATAGAAACAAATTGTATAATCAGATTTGGTTCGAAACAAATTGTATAATCAAGCTTTTAGAGTTTCCTTTTAAATATTTTTTAACCGAAGATGCCTCATTGCCTGGCTACCAAAAAAGGCCAAAGCTTAAAATCAGACGCAGTGCCATCTATATTTTCGCGCAGTAAGCCAGAAAAAGCTAGAAGCACAGGGCGAAGAAGAAATCATATCCGCTCTGAACAAGCCAGACAAGAAGTATTAAGCCATGAACGCTTGCATGTATTTGTAGTATAAAAAACTTGTATGTTATGTAATCATTTTCTAGCTTTCATATTGTGGCAGAATTAACTTTCTGAACATTTGTACATTATTAGACACAAATAAAGCATAAACACTTCAATAACATATATGTTGTGTATATTTTTACTTGCTGCATATATTTATAATATTAAATTGTGTATTTATACGAGTTCATATTCTAAAAAAATGTACAACCATCATCTTAACTCCTTCCGACATCATATTGGGACAGTAATATGGAAGACAGATGCTGCATGCTGTATTTTAGTAGCCATGCACATGCACAACAAATCCAAAATAGGGCCAGAACTAATATGGGGAACATTTGTATTAATGTATAAACCCTCAAATTTAAATTCACACACTGCACTGCATTGTATTTAGACACATTCTTATTTTTAAGATACTTGAAGACTGTATTAGTATGCAAATTGAGAGCTCATCGACATCCTCCCAAGCTATTGAATGTACTGAATCTGAAAGTCAATCATGCACAATTAGTTCTGTATCTGAAACCCAATGTCCCATTGATGGCATGACAGCAAGTAGAGAAATTGGCATACAATGTGAACTGTCGGTTGACCACATTCCAATTATTAAGCCCATGACATGATGCATTGCAACCCAAACTGAATCCATGCTCCTTAAATTACACACCCCTGCTCTTGCAACTGTTAGTGGAAATGATATTGCACAATCTGATCAAGAAGTTATGTATATTGATGCACCTTCCTTAAAGGAAAGCACCAGCCTACCAGATTGTCATTCTCCTAGCACTTTTGCAGAAACTACTGACCTACTTGAAAAGGTATCACCTCAGAAAAGCATCTGTTCAGAGTATACATGCACACTGACTGATACAGATCATGATGAATTATACATGCCTTCTGCTGAAAGTCAAACCGAAACAGAGAATGAAAGTGATGTAGAAATAGAAAAAAGTCCTGTAGAGCAGAAAAAATTTGTGGTGTTTGAAAAAAATCTAGATGAGCTATTTGTTACTTGTTCCACCTGTGCTAAGCCAATAGTTGAGCAGTCTAAAAAATGTATTGGTAGCATGGTGGTTGTTGAAACAGTATGTGTTGATGGACATCAAAATACATGGCGGTCACAGCCTATGATTGGTGAGAAGATAGCAGGCAACTTGTTGCTTGCTGGATCAATACTGTTCAGTGGGAATACTTTTCAAAATGTAAACTCTTTGGCCCAGTGCTTGAACTTGGCTTTTATTGGTAGAAGTACATTTTATGATATGCAGAAGGTTCTTTTTCCTGTAGTTGATAAGGCTTGGAAAGACCACCAAGTTGCCCTGCTGAATGAAACAAAAGAATCATCTAAGTTAGATATTTGTGGGGATGGTCGGTGTGATAGCCCAGGGCATTGTGCAAATTATGGCACCTACACTGTTATGGAGGAAAATAGCAGTAAAATTCTAGATTTTGAAGTCGTTCAGGTCACAGAGGTCTCATCATCAAATGCTATGGAGGCTGAAGGGTAAGAGTGAGATGTTTGACTACGGACAGGCATACAACAGTCACTGCAGAAATGAGAAAAAACATTTTGAAATTACACACCAGTATGATGTCTGGCATCTTTCAAAATGGGTGGTCAAGAAATTGACAAAGAAAAGCAAAAAGAAAGAGTGTAAAGATTTAACAGATTGGATTCAGTCTGTTTCTGCTCATTTCTGGTGGAGTGTTGCAACATGTGATGGCAACTATGAATTACTCATTGAGAAATGGACATCTGTTGTCAATCATATTAGCAACAAGCACTCATGGAGACATGCTAAGCATTTCAAGAAATGTGCTCACCATAAATTGACCTGACGGGAGAAGAAAGAAAAGCCATGGCTAAAACCTGGTACTGCTGCTCTTGTTGCCCTTGAGGACATAGTCTTCAACAAAAAGCTACTCAAGGATTTAAAGCTGGTAACAGAGTTTCATCATACTGGAAATCTGGAAGTTTATCATTCCATGATGCTAAAGTACTGTCCCAAGAGGCAGCACTTTAACCATGAAGGAATGGTTGCTAGAACACAGCTTGCTGCCCTGGACAATAATCACAATTGCTCTAGGAAGCAAGCTGTGGTCAAGAAGGGATCCAATGTGGGCAAGTCTACGGATACAATCTTGTTTTCCCAAAGATGCGCAAAACATGGGTAGTAAAGCCAATTAAGGAGGCCAAGCAGTTTGATTACATTACTACACTGATGGAAAATATCCTCAGGTATAAAAAATCAAAGAAACCGAAGAAATCCAAGAAAGCCAAAAAGTCTGCCAAACATGCAAAAAATATTGCCACAAAAGAGAAACCAGACAAGGAAACAGCAATCAAGGCTCACATTAGCAGATTCTAGACAAACTAACAAACCTATATTTATAATAAACAAACTATAAAATGAGCAAATGATATATGTACTTGTAAGTTAAGTGTCAAAAGGCCCAATTTGTTCATATAACATTTAATTAATCATCTTCATCAGATGCTGGCTTAAACCCAACATAAACATGATCATCCTCAGGTCCAGGAGGTGGGAAATGTGCTCTGATGCAACTGACGGCACAAGATGGCAAGGCGACTCGAACATGCCTTCCTAGCACCCCCCCCAACCAAATCGTGCAAGTTGCCGATAAGCGATATGCCTGTTCCTTTGGTTATCTGGGCCTTCAAATGGGTTCTCGTACTCCTGCCTGTATTGATACCATGCTGTTCGGAGTACAAACATATCCAAACACACAGAAGTAA